TAAGAACCGGACGCTCAGAATGCTTTGCCGTGTAATCCGTGCACCTGGATCAAATCGGGATCATGTCATTCAGCATTTTGCTGTTGCCCAAGATGCCCAGACTGGATTCCCATCCGGATGGTGGTGCAAGCTTTCCGACAACTGCTACAGCGCTGGACTTACGTATGAGAAGGAGCTGGGCTCAGGTTTTCGAGCGCTAACCCAGATGGGCGCATACTCGAGGTTGTAGGGGAAGCGGGGGGAGCACCGCCACCTTAAGCATTTCTGCTCACCGAGCTGATATGCGTAGTAAAAACGAAGCTCTTTTGCATTCATGTGAAAGTAGGAATGTTTTCCTACATGTTGGCATAGTTGCCAGCGCTCCATTATAAAATTTCGCTACTTTACAGACGTCGAAAACAAGTCCTGCATTTTTCGTCCTCCAAAAAATGTGCGGGTAGCACCACCACTGATGGCGATGTTATCCACAGATCGGCCTTACGGTGACAGCCACCCTTGGAAGCGTTACTGCTGTCTGAAATAGTAACTCAAACTCATATAAGACACACAAGAGTTGGTTGTTAGTTTGTCACAGATCAGACTGTTTGTTGCGGACAATATGCATACAAAGCATGACAAATTCACGTTTATTTCGAAACATCCAGTGAAGTCAAACGTGAGGTTAAAAACCAGACGACGTTTGCGGCCTAACTAAAGCTCTTCTCCGAGCTGAGTGAATCATCATTGCGGCTTTATCCATTTTGCCACCCCTTGGGGTAGCACCGCCGAGCATGGCGGTGTTACCCCACTCACAGTCATGGACCGACAACCTCGGTCCAAACCGACAGCAAAACAAGACGGGACGCGATTCTTCTGTAATTCCTTTCTCAACAAAGAGCACTTAATGCCCTCAAATTTAACGTAAAAATCAAGGCATTTTGACTTGAAATGACCACTTACTTGCTGCTCAAACATGCCAAATGATTACAACGATGGTTTGAAATTCACAAAATGGGCAATTGCGATCTCAAAATCAAATAAATCTTAGCGAAACCTACCTCACGCGGCGTCCCGCTTCCGTTCGGACACCGAAATGGCGGGTGTTTACATTTACAATTCAGAGTTTTGCCGATAGAGAGGATGGCGGTGTTTCCCACATGGCGGTGCTACCCCCGCTTCCCCTATTGCATATAAAACGCAGCATACGAGCATATGGCTTACTTGTCTGGCTATCGGCGTACAAATGGAACTTGGCTGACCGAGCGCAGCATCACTCCAAAGCGCCGTTATTTAACGCAGACGCATCCCGGAGCTGCCGCTGACCGACTCTGTGTGCCCCTCGTGTAAAGTGTTACGGCGCTCGACGGAGGCGCTGCACGCCGGTCCTGGCGGTGTCGGTTACGGTGTGGCCCCATCGGGCCGGGCCGGTCCGCTGGCCGGTCTGCTGAGCCGTCATCGCCGCTGCATTCCGGCGAGTATTTACGAACCGCCGTCCGGCCGGCCGCACCCCGCCTGACGCCGGACCGGCCACGGCGCGATACGGCGTGGCACGGGGCGACTGAGTACGGCGCGGTACGGCCCAACAGCGGAACGCTGCAACTGGGCCGGCGTCCAGCGGTCAGTGGGACATCAGCCAGGAGTCAACAGTCAACAGGTAAAGGGGAACGACCAAATAGCCAGGGCGCAGATTTCAGAAGGTATGCCTGCGGTCAGAACCAGCAACTAACTAGTTAACGACAATCGATAGCTTCCACAGCCTGTCGTATAGATAGACGAAATATGTTTAAGTATGGCAAAGGAAGTCTAGTCATTATAGTCAGTAGTCAGTACAATAGAGAAGGGAACGGAAGCTGAAAGCCACCGTCGCGGCTGGCATGTACCAAAAAAGGTATAGGCGTAATACAATACCATCGGCGTTATTTTCGCCCGATGAATAGGCACAAAAGACTGGTCGGATCATCACAGAATAATGTGATTTTGAAATTTGAGTGGTGTTTAAAGGGACTATCCCACCTTCTAAAATGTTGTTAAAACCAGTTAAATTGTGCCCGACTTTATAGATTGGATGACCAGGAACACGGTTCTGGAATTTATTTTTCATTAAACATCTTAGGCTTCCCATATTCCAAACACAAACTTTCAAATATGTGACGTCACAGCCCAAAATTACCTCCTTCCCCAAGCCACATTACTGTCATAAAGCTGATTCTTTTTACTCTGTAGGCACCACAACAAAGTTCAGACCAAGTTTTAAGCGATTTTTCAACGAACAAACCCATTTAAATCAGAATGACTAAACGAGGTGACGTCACACTAACGGTCGCTCCATGTTGAAGATAGGGCCTTGTACAAGGCCCATTTTCAAATGAAGGGAACGAATTTCTTCAACACCAAGAGGCCGCGGGGGTTGCAACCTAGATAGATAGTGGTTTCTGAACCTCGCCGCAAACTTGGCTATCTCAACTCAAACCCCATGTTAAAGGTGGGATAGTCCCTTTAAAGGAAAAGGGCCACCTTCGTGAAATATGAAGATATCGTTGTTTTTCATTTTGACATTATTATTTTTCATTTTCTTTTTAAAACTGGTGCCAGAAGTGCACAATTCGCGAAAAAGTATTTAAAACTATTTAACATATTGGTACTATATGTTGATACTCTCTACGGCACCTACTGTATGATGGCATAGCGATGACGTCACACTCAAGCCAATCAGCGTTCAGAAGACAGACTCGTCGGATTGTGTCAGATAAGCTGAATGGTTAAAGCTGAGCTGATTGGAGCTGATTGGTAAAAAACCAAAGCCTCGCCGCGGGTGGCTGTATTACAGGGTAAGGAGAAGGACGCATTCCTGGGATAAGGACGCATTCCTCTTTTAAAATTGCCGATACCTACGAATGGAAGCCGAAATCGGCCGTAAGGAGATAGACTGGAGGGTTTTCGGACACGGGCAACAAGATGGCTATCTCAGTTTCAATCCCCATGTTAAAGGTGGCCCTTTTCCTTTAACAGAGATTAGGCAGGCGCTGAAGCGAGGAAATGCTTAGCATGCTTGCGGAGTATTTGTGTAAATGGTATTAGCATCTACGAAACGGACTTGAAACATGTGCAGCTGCAAAATAATGCTTAAAACTGTCCTGAGCGTTTTAAGAGAAGACCAAAAGCATTTAAAATGGCAAAATGGCATGGGTTGCATCGAATATCTTAGCGTCGTACCCAACTTTAACTCGGCGCATAACAGGCAATAGGCGTCTATCTGGGTGTCAAGAGGTCTAGAGTCCTGAGACATTCATCCCCGTCGGATCGGGATTGAAGCTTTCCAGGATGCTGGCCGCCTTTCTGCGATAACACCCGATAACACCCGCTGCGCCTTTTCCGGAACATGCAACTTCGCCGCTCTTTTATCGCCAGGTATGCCGCTTTTTAGCCATCTTGATGGACGTCGGTATGCACTGGCACGAGGATTAATGCCAGCTTGTTCTTCCTTCCAGGCTCACTTTCAGCTGCGGCCGAGTAGTTAAGCGCTGTTTCCTCTGCGCAAAGAGAGGCGGCTCCGCACCGGCATCCCGTGTATTATATTCACATTAGCCTAGGTTTAATCACCAGGCGTTCGCATCCATAATTTACCGACATCTGCGCCTGGCTGTGCGCACCCGATCGCTGTCAGAGCACGGCGCACGCAGGCGCCTGTCGAGTGCCCCGCCTCGATTTATGATCCCGCGACCGACTGCAATGTAGATGCAGTAACGACGGCGCGCCTCGCTGCCGCTATTTTAACGAATCTCCGCTAGCAGCCATCGCTGGTCCGGCACGCATCGAGTGAGCCGCCACAAGGTGCAGCAACTCATCCGAGCCAGCTCTGGCGGGGTGGGCGCAGCGGGCCGCACCGGCGCAGTGCGCTGCCATGTCGCGCGTGACTTGCCACATGGGGCGCTGCTGGCTGGCACCGATGGGAATCTGGCGAGTGATGAGTCGGCCGGTGACATAACTCGAGTTTCCAGCCGGACAGAGAACCCGACTCCCAGCCGTGATCAGCGCGATACCCGGCGGTGAAACGCGCCGGGCCGGGGCGGACACCTCCGGACGTGGGCGGCCTCCTCCTCCTCCGGACAGCCAGCCGAGCTGTGTCGGCCTGCGTGTGAGGGATTATCGCCGGACGCACGCACACGCCCGGATCCGACAGCTGCCCGTCAGACCGTCTGACACGGCGCGTGGCTGTATCCGGTCAGTTCACGCCAAGTCGTCGTGCGCCTTCCGCAGAAGAGTTGCGGCAAGCAGAGGCCGATCCGGTGGTCAGACAGGGTCCAGGCGAGTCCCGGGACGCCGCTGACGGCTGGGAGGGATCCTCACGTGGCCGCCCCTCCCTGTCAGTGACCCTGCTCGGGCCAAAACTGGACCGACTAACGACCAGCCGAGCGGCAGAGAGCGGCTCCCAGCTCCGGCAGACCGGGCAGCTGGGCAGCTGCACCGTCAGATCGCGGTCCCTCCATGCCTATATTGCGGCAGACTGACCCGCTCCCGCCCCGCCCCGCCCCGGCTCGGTCCGGTCCGCTCCAGCGAGCACGGCGCCGGCGACACGCCACCAGACGCCGCCGCGCGGCCAGTTACACGCGCCAGCTGCGGGCGACTAATGCATCTCACGCCGGCCGTTAGCGTGAATCGGCGCCGAATTATGACCACTGCACGCCCGCAGAGGTGTGCAAATTCGCGCGCGGGCGCAATTAGAGCTGGTTTATTTTCCGGCCTGCGTGACGCCCCAGTCAGAGGCCAGCTCAATAAACTGATCACGTGCCTCCCTCCGCTAGTGTTTTATCACCGCGCTGCGCTTGGTGATCAGACCAATCTAATGACGACCATTATGTGTTTTTATGACGACTCTGCGAATTTATTCATTGTTTTCTTTCGTCGGCAAAAAGCGTGGATCGATGGCCGGCGGAGCGCGGTTGGCCGGTGGGCGCCCGGGCCGGCCGAGGAGCGGCCGGGTTGCCGCGGGCGGCGCGGCGGCTCGGCGGCGCTGGCTCGCCGGAGCGCCGCGCCGGCCCGCTCAGTATCGTACGGGAGCGCCGCGCGCACGGAGCGACGCTGGTGTTAGAGCCCGACTCGGACCGCTGCCGCTGCGGTCTCTGGTGTTAGTGACTGGGCGCAGTGCTGCAGTCTCCAGTGTACTGTGCCACGCCACTGAGGCTGTCCGGCACTGACAGGACCTGCCATCGGCGTTACTGGAAATACGACCGAATCGTCCCTTTAGATCGTCTTTGGAAGGTAAGGATCGAGCCTTGTGCAACTGTTGGAGCGTGCAGTTTAGATAGTTTTAGGATGTTTTTATTTCTAACATATGTTTAGACATATGTTTCTGTCAACATATGTTTACCTAGCGGTTTAACTCGCAAGCATAAAAATAATGCTTTGGAGAGCAGGCTACTTAAAAGCAGCACTTTTTAACTTTCGGACTCGAAGGTTTCATTGAAACTTGTATAAGTCAAATCGTACATTTTGAAGAGAGAAATCTTATCCCTTTAGAACATTGCTGTTCCCTTCTATTTGTAAAATAGTGCGGAAATTTAAACATGTTTCGCAGATTCGCTGAACAATCGTCATCCAAGATTTTTAGTGTGACATGGAGCAGATAACTACACAAGTACGCACTCAGTCTAAGGCAAATTCACCTATTTCTTTTTCACAAAATCAAAAATGCAAAACAAGCATACCATCCAAAACTACAAGTTACTCGTCACCAGGTTGTAGCGTTTATCGACAACATCGCTGGGGTTCGCCGGCGAACGAAGCTCATTGCATTACAGTGCCGATAATCGCACTGCTGAACGTTACATCAATTGAATAACAACTTTTATTGCGTCCATCAATTAGTCTAGCAGATCATTAGCGGTAGTGGCGCGTTGCAGCCGACGCTGGGCGTCGAACGTGAGCGATGTGCCGGCCGTCGAGCGGCGGTGATTCACCCCGCACCGCCGCGCCGCGCCGGTCACAGCGCGCGCCCATCAGATAGCCAGTGGAGCGGTGATAATTTCCCTTAACCCTTCAGCGGCATCGACGGGGCCGCAGACAGTCGATCGGACGATCTATGCGTGGGGATAGGACGCCCTCCTGCGCGCCTGAGCACAGGTAGACAGAGAGGCGCGAGTGAGTTGTGGCGAGGAGCCGTCGCCAGGTGGGAAAAAGGAGCCCGCGCGGAGCACCTACTGCACGTATTGCACAAGCTCGTCGTGTGACCGTGACATCGCCGACTGGAGCACTTCACCGGTATCTCAGAGATAAATCGATAAGATGGACAGTCGGGCTGACTCGGCAGCACATGGGTGACATTGAGGCTGCAGACTGATTAGGCAAATACCGTTTTCTCAATGTCCAAGTTGCAAAGCACGGACCGAAACTTGCTCAGCTAGACAAAGTGGTAAGGACCCTTGTTCCCTCATTCATGCTTCCAAGACAGTGCACCTGATCTTTAAGCAGTGCCTTCGACCTTGCAATTTCCATAAATTTGGCATGGTAAAACATGCATCAGCATTCAGCGTGCTCCAGCCTCTATCGTGCAGCGAATTCCGATATCCGTAATATCTCCGAGAGCTACATGTATGGCCGCCATGCTCTGCCGCTAGCTGGCTGGTCTGTGCCAGAGCACTCTGCTCTCTGCTCTCAGCAGTACCACTCTGCACTCGGGCCGACGCTGGTCTCGGGTGCGCCGTTTTTGCCCGAGTCCCCGGCGGCGGGCGGCGCTCGGCGAATCATTGTTTACTGCTCGCCGTTGAGCGGCCGGTCGGCGCGGCACATTCCTGCTGCCCGGGCTGATCGGGCGCCGGCGGCGGCCGCGGGCATTTGTTCCGGTGCGCGCCGGCCGTGCTCTCAGTGGGAATACCGAGCAGGCTCGTGACAGCGGCGGCAGCGGGCCGGGTGCCGCTCAATGGGGGCGTGCGGCCGCTCCGGGGCCGGACGGGGTTCGAGGAACACCGACAGAGGAGGGCAGTAATGACACCGCCACCGCCACCGCCGCCACCGGAGCAGTCCCACCGCCGCCCTTCAGGGCTTTCAATGGCCCGGCACCCTGCTACGGCTCCCCACCGCGACCCCACAGGGGGAGCTCTTGGTGGCCTGTCCGCAGTCATCAGCAAACCGCGCCACCATGCCAGCCTGTTTCACAGCGCACCCAACTGTGCAGGGCTGCGGAGGACACGAACAGGCGTCTCACCGGTGTACCGTCGGCCCTTCCACCTGGACGGCAGCGCGGCGCTGCGCCACTATGTGGGGGCGTGCAGGAAACCTGAGAAGGCGGGCGTCCAGAATGGTGTCGCGCTTATCGGTGTCATTCGGGCCATCAGCACCTAATGCGGCGACAGCGCCTAATGGAGCGACACAGGGCCGGCCCCGCCCATCCGGCGGCCGCAGAGGTGGCGCCCGACCGCCGGGGTCAGGCCAGGTCACCGCTACATCCCGGTGCCGCGGCTGCCCGCGGATTACACCCCCGAGTCGTCGTGAAAGCGCGCTCGGTCCGCCCCGGTCGGTCCGTCTGTCAGTGACCTACCTGACTGGCCGCTGAGGCAGCGCTGACCGCTGACGGCTGACGGCTGACCGCTGACCGCCGGCCGTCCCATCCATCCATCAGCGGTGCTCGATGGCAGCCGAATCGTCACCGCGCTGCGCCGTGACCCGCCCACCGAGTCATTATCCCGAGCGGCCTCTGCGGGGTAATTCGGCGGCGCTGCATAATTTGCCGCCGCCTAATTGCAACCCGCGGCGCCCGGTGGCCGGCCGCCGGGGCAGAGGTGTATGCGGGTCGCGCCGGGAGACGGAAGACGGCCGCTCCCGAGTGCCGACCCGGGTGACGGATGACCTCTGTGATGACCGCTGCCGACGCCGCCCACAGCCGAGACCGACCGGCGAACGGCAGCGGAGCGTCGGGGCGTATAACGACCGAACGCATTATCAACGGACACACAGCGCGGCAGAATGTTTTAACAGCGGGCGCCGGGCGCATTAACTGCTCAAATCTCGAAGGGAAGTCCATCATCACTGAAGAATGCGGCGGTTTCGGAGGAAGCCAAATATGCAAATAGAGTACCTCCGGTGTTTGACCGTTAGGCCAGCGCTAAGCGATGGCGTCACCATTACAAAGGCCTGCCGCTGACCAGGTGTTGCGGCCTGTGGTCGCACATTTTAAACCGGGAAACCACCACTGGCGCCAATCAATCAGCGGTCAACATCCAAGCACGGCCTGTGTTGATAGACATGGAGAGCAGCTCTCAGACATGTCACGTGGCTTTCCATGGCGGTGTACTCACCCCAAGTAGCAGAAGTTTTGCAACTCACTCCATGTCACCCACTCGCTTCCGTTTTTGCCTGGCAACGAGCCGACCGAGACGCCGGCCGCCACTGCGCCGACATGCTCCCCGACCCGTGTATTGTCCAGAGATCTGATAGGGGATCTTTATGGGCCACTCCCCGTGCCGCCGCTGATGAAGGTGACGTCACCCGACAGAGCACTGCGCCGCGCCGTGCCGCCGCGTCTCACGAGCCGCGGCGCGCCGCTCCGCTGTTTTCGCATTCCTGTGAAGGAGCGCATCGAATCGCCCGGCGTGCGCGGAGGGTCGACGGTGAGCGGGGAGGCGCGCGTGCATCACCTGGTGGTTACAGGAGGCCGGGAGTGGGTGCTCCCAGCCCGCGGCGGGGCGGCGTGCACACTGCACAGCGGCCGGCGGCGCAGGGTCGCCGGGGTCAGATGCCGCGCTCGGTGGCGGACCGTGGCTGGCCGCTGCCCAGCTGGAGGGACCGCCGCCGGCCGCGGTGGAAATGGCGCAGCTGCAGGTCGGAATGCCCGCGCGGCGCCGTACCGCGCCGAGCCGACTGCACGACAGTCGACAGCGATCGACGGCGGGCGGCTCCGCGCTGCATTCCGCCGCCGCAGCGCCCGGGGCTGTTTGGTAGTGGACGGTAGTGCGGCCGACGCAGCCGGCGGGCGGGCCTTGAACGAAGCGCAGCGCTGTGTCATAGCTGTCGGCCGGCCCGTCCGAGACACATAATTAGGCTGGGCGCAGTCATGCCAAGGAGGGCCGGCGACGTGACTCCCGCAGGGTTTCCTGCCGCCGTTTTTGCTGGCATCTGGGCTCGTGAAATGTGAAACTCACCGCCGCACAATTTTCCGGTCATCACCGACATGACGATACCCTCGCTACCTCTCTTTGGCGCATTGACCATTCGCCACGCATGCCCCGCCCGGCATGCTGACCGCCACTCGCTAGCTGAGCTATATTGGAGCGGGCCGCCGATAAGCCCTCGGAATGCGACCCCGGCGGCCAACTTTACAGCGTTCAACCCTGTCCTGCCGGGCGGCGATCCACGTCGGCTTAGGGCAGCTTACGCCGAGGCCGGCTCAGCGGTAATGCCTCTCCTCAATTTCAACCCGTTTACGGTCGATTACCGATGTTTTCTGCGGCGAGGCGGGGTGGGACGCGGGCCGACCACCAGAGCGGCGTTTCGTGGCAAGCACGTCCGTCTGGCCTGGATCGGCGCTCTCGGGTGACCCCGAGACACTGGGCGCCGCCGGGGGCGCCCGGGCGCCGGAGAGCATTCCTGGCAGCGCTCCATTACCGCTCTGGGCCACTAAAAACAGCAGAGGAGCGCTCTTTGTCCGCCGCCGTCCATTGTGGTGATCTAATATGGGAGGCCGCCGGGGTCACAGCGGCGGAGCGAGCGTCATCACCGCACCCAAATCAGCTCCGCGGCCACAGACGAGCCTGCAGCGCTGCCCAGAGCAGCCAGACCGTCTCTAGACGGCGCTCAGACAACCAGAGGACCAGACGAGTCGGACAGACGGCCAGACGACCCGACAGAGTCGGACCGGAGACGGCGAGATATCGCCCGCCCCGAGACCGCGGCCATCGCCAGACGCCACCCGGGCTTTGTGCTGGGCTCAGCGCCGACGTCCCCCATTTTTCAGCCCGGCCGAGCGGTCGGAGGAGGGTGCGGACAAAGCGTTCACCCGTCCGAGACCTGTGTTTGGAGCCAATCCTTTATGCGGCTGAGCGGCCGCGCCGGCCAGAAAACCTCGCTAATGGAGAGATAATTGGTATGCGTGTGTGTTTGGCGGGGCCGCCGCCGAGAGGTCTGGCGCGGCTGTGGTCCGTCCAAAGGTGGTGGCACATACCGGACGGTGGTCCTGCGAGACACGCGGCCGCTCTGACAGCTGCCCCCGCTCGTCTGGTGGCCCCGCCAGCTGCCCCTCCCGTCCGTCCGTCCGTCCGGATGGGTCCCGCCCGGGCTCAGGTGAGGCCGCGCCGGTCCGCGGTCCGCGCGGCCCAGCATAACAGGTGCGCCGCATTTCTCAGGGACGGGGGGCGGAGATTTTTCTGAAGGGGGTGGACGGCTCGGCCGGTGGAAAAGGAAGCGCGGCAGGATGAGAAATGGTTTAATTACAGGGTCAGTCGGCGGACGCGCAGCGTGTGTCATAACTTACAGGAAGGGCCAGCGGCGCGTCCGACTGCGAGCGGAGGGGCGAGGGAGGGCGGGCAGGGACCAGGAGAGCGGCGCAGACCTCAGACACGGCTTCCCTAGGGAGACGGGTGGCCTTCGTGCGGCCGTCTGTGCTTCGAGGCGGGGAAACGGCACCGGAAAAAGGAGAAAAAATGTTCTACGATTTGCATTGAACAATGCTCTAATGGGCGTCATCAATACAATGTGTCAAACGTTATGGCAAGGCCGGCATCTTTTATTCATATCTCTCTAAGCCTGAAGTGCAAAGGGAAATATACTCGATATGGCACACTACCTATTCTGCTCAAAACACCGCAGCGTTGACAATGGAATGTCGAAAAATCGCCTTATCAAATATTCATGCTTGTAGGCATACTAATCGCGATGCCACTTTCCTGTCCCCCAGCGGGGAACACTGGCCGTGTGTGACGCCATCATATATCAGTCAGCGGCGGCCCGACCTAGTCCACTGCTGTCGGACAGCTTCATTGGCAATTCTTCCCCCTTTCGGCGGGTTCGGCGCGCTGCCGCCGGCCGGTCTGTGACTCAGGACCGGGACGCGCCGGTCGGATTCCTGGCGCGCAGGGAGTGTCCGCGCTCTGCAGTATTCCAGCCCCGGCCGATGGTCGGCTAACGTACGGCGCCCATCAAATTACATTCGCGATGAAATATGACACAGCCGGCTAACCAGTTGCGCCGGAGAGCGCGCCACGAGGGCCGGCTGCAGCGCGCATGCTCCGCCCAGCGGCGGTCACAAATTCTGTTAGCCGTTGTGCCGGCACTTATCTGGGCTGGGATCACGGCGCGTCGCTGGCAGCCCCGCCACCGCCCGGCCCGCGATGGCGACATTAGGTCTATTCAATCTCGTGTCGACCTGACCCATATTCCGCGGCGCCGGAGTGATCGCTGCTGCTCAGCAGTAGACGCTGATGCTCAGTGATGATAACTCGGCGCCGTGGTGAAACAATAACACCATTCCGTTCCACCGGCGCGGCTCTCTGCTGCAGGAGAGTTAGGGGCCGGCCTCTGTCCGGAGTGGTCAGCCGGACCGGCGCTGGCGTTTTTCTCACTCCACGCCGGATCAATGCGAGTGGAGTTTCACAAGGCTGCGGCCTGTCGCCCGCGCCCTTTGTCCCGTCATCTGGAGACGGAGAAGGTGCGGTGTACGGGGACCGCAGGGTGCCCTCTCTACCCGTGCCGTCACCGTTATACGCAGATTTATCTTGCCGCCGCAGATGGACCAGTGTTTTTGCGCCGGATTCCTGGTGCATTATCGTTTTTTAGAGCCACGCAGAGCGCGACACCGTTGGGTTTTTGTGTCGCACCGTCTCGTCGTATCGCCGGCCGTGCCGTGCTGCGCAACTGAAAGGCGTCCTGTTTTCCTAGCCATTAGTCCTTATAAGATAGCGGCCGCGGAGCAAACAGTACGGCTCCGTCCACGCCCGGTCTGTGTTAAGCCGCGTTCCCCGGTAAAAACACCGCGTCCCGACCCAGGCCGGGGCACGGCGTCCGCCAGACACCACTCGACCAACGCCAGCTGAGTGACAGGTGACAGAACGGACTGTGAGTGTGCTCCGTCACCGCCCTCACCGCCCGGCTATCCCCTCCGCCACTTTCCTCCCCGAGCTGCAGCGCCTGACGCGCTCAGAACCCGTCCCGGCCGGTGTCGGCGCCGCCCCCGCCGCCCTAACCCCGATGTTGAACAGCGGTACACCATCACGCACTCAGTGGCGCGGCCCAACCAGCCTCTCTGACACCCCCGGCACTATAAATATACCTGACCTGAAAAGCCAAAAAGCTTGGCGCGCGCTGCGGGCGGTGCTGCCGCTGCCGTGGCAGGTAACTGCCATGTTACTACCGTCGGAGCAGAGTTATGTGAGCGGCGTGTTGGCCGGCGCGGCCCGGGGCCCGCCGGGCCGGCTCAGGCTCCTGCGGTGGCAGACTCAGACCGGCACGGCCGCACCCGGCCGCCGGGGCCCCGCGGCGCGGCGGCGGCAGTGCGGTCGGCCGACTCTGGCCAAACCGGCGGCCTGACCATCGTCAGACGGCCGGCCGGGGCTTAGCGGTGACCGACCTCGTGTGCCGGGCCGGCGGCACGTGCAGCGGCCGGCGCCGCGCCGCACAGGAGCCGGCTGCTGACCCCACGCTGACTTCATCCGGCCCCTGAGTCCAAAGATATCCAATATGCACTTACCAGGCATCGCTAACATCCTGTTTTAAAGCTATCCAGCCACCGAACTTCCTCAGAGACTCCTGGGAAGACCGTTGTCAGATTGCCAATCACTGCTCAGTGGTCTCTCACGGACGTAACTCGTTAGTGCGGGATGCCTCAATGGAGCGGGCTGCGGTATAACTCAGCAGCTGGGTCCGGTCCAGTGGCTGGCCCGTGCACGGCCCGCGGCCGTCCGATCGCGCCGCGGTGCCATGGTGCGGCCTGATATGCAGCTGTAAACGGCGGCGCTCGCCCGTCAATGGCCGCTGCTCGCCTGAATGGCCCTCAGCAGAGATTCGGCCGGCGTCCTGTGGCTGCTGGGCCGTGTCGACGCCGCGCGCCACCGACCGTATAGCTGACACACGTGTTTGGTCTGTTACAGGTCGAATCGCCAGAGCCGGAGAGAGTGAGGAGAACCGGCTGAAGAGATCGTCCGGAGGAGCCGGAGCACAGACTGACAGCAGATTGGAGAACATGGTGCCCAAAGGAGTGATCTAGTGAGCCGGCAGTGTGACGCAGATCGCAGTGTGTTTCCGAGGGAGCAGTGTGGTGTGTGGGACAGAACTGGTGAGCGGTATGGAGTGTCAGACGGAGGTGCGCGGACAGTGTCAGCCGCCGGTGCCGGTGGAGACCGGCAGCGCCGCCACAGACTATGACCAGGAGCGGCCGCTGATGGACAGCCCGCCGCGGCCGCGCGCGCACAGCCGCCGTCAGCGGCGCCGCGTGCTCTCCAACCCGCTACTCGACACCATCAGCGCCATCGAGGACGACGACAGCGACGAGCTCGGCCTGCCCGAGCGCAAGGGCGCCGACGGCGAGACGTACACGGCCGGCTACGTGGGCGGCAGCTCCATCGACAGCGGCTACAAGAGCTCGTGTCCCACGCCGGAGATGGTCGACATTGCCTACTACACCACCACCCTGTCGCCGGCCGAGCAGGCCAAGCGGCTCTCCGTGGCCAGCCAGACCAGCCAGGACAGCGCCAGCAGCCTGCCCGGCAGTCTCGGCGTGGCACAAAAGCCGCGCATCGCCATGGGCACCAAGGTGATGAGCCGGCAGGCGGCCAGCGCCTCCAGCGTGGAGCAGCCGCGCCGGCGACACGACTCCGGCTTCAGCGACGCCACACTCTGCCACCTGACCGTGGTGCGGGACAACCTGCTGCGGATGGAGCGCAGGAGCCGCGAGCCGAGCGCCGCCGCGCCGCCGCCGCGGCCGGAGGCGCGCGGCCAGGGGGTGCCGGCGGTACGTCCCCGCAGCGCCAGCATGGGCTCCGTGTCGGCCGTCAGCCCGCGGCCCCTGCGCCGCTCCGGCTCGCCCGTGCCGCCGCCCAGAGCCGCGCCCCGCGCCGCCGTGCCGGCCCCGGCTGCGGCGCCCGGTCGGCCAGCATCGCCTCCCCCGCCGTCTGTCCACCCGCGGCGCCGCAGCCCGTCACCGGGCGCACCGCGGCCCCCGGCGCGACCGGAGCTGACAGCGGCCTGCCGGCGGCCGCGGCCACCGCCCGCCCGGCCGGCGCCGCGGGACGCCGCCGTCCGGCCGGCCGTGGCCGAGCGCGCCCAGCGCGGCACACGAGAGGAGGACATCGACGGCCTGATGTACGGCCGCCGCGCCGCGCCGCACTCCACGGGTGAGTCTCAGCACCGCGCCGCGTCCATTGCTATGCACCGGGCAGCGCCGCGCGCCGGCCCCACACGGCGGCACGCAGGCGCGCCGCCCGCCGCCGCGCTCAGCCACACACCGGCAATCAGCGGCGCTCGCGAGCCGATCTTAATTCAATGGAGCTGCTGACGGCGATAACCAGCCGCTGCCACTGATAGTCTGGCGGCGGTGACGGCGACCCCGGGTCAGCCGGCCGCCTCACGTCTCGTAAACACCTCCATAAGACAGGTTAATGCCGCTCGACGGCGCGTCGGACTCGTAAACTTCGGTCGCTAAGCCGCCGGACGGCCGGCCAGGCACGCGCATGGACGTCGGCGGTAAACAAGGCGGCGACTGTCGGAAACCTGACCGGGCCGGGCCAATGGGCGTCTCAACACGCACCGAGTGGGAGTACCGGCGTGTCGTCCGGTCACATTATACGGCCTGATGGCCGAGACGACCGGCCCATCCATATGCGATGCCGGCCCGGCGCGGCGTCGGCCAGCCCGGCCGGCACGCCGCCGGCTGCCGAGCCCATTTTGGGCCGCGTCGGTCAGACAGACGTGCGGGGGAGGCCGGGGGAGGGCGGGGAGGGTGGCCGAGAGCCGGCTGTGCACCGTCCACCGGCCGGCAGTGTCTCTGCTCCGCCCCGCCGGTTGTGTGCCGCTGCCAGCCGTCACTGCAGCTGACGCCGCGCGGCCCGAGTGGACACCGCCCTCCGACAGCGGCCCGGACTCACTGTCAGCTCTCCCGCTCTCTATTCTAGCCGGCTGCGGCGCCGTCATCGGCACTCCGCCCCCGGCCGCCGCCGCCGGCCCCTGCCGTCATTAGCCGGCCGCGAGCCGGCAGTCCGGCGAGCGGCCGGCTAATGCCTGTGGTCGTTACCGAGCTCCGCGGTCCGACCAGCAGCCCCGAACCGGACGACAGCACAGAGGCCGCGGTCCGCCGGGTCTACCGGGGCGGGCAGGCCCCGTCCTGGCTCAGTTACCGGGCGTCCGGCAGCCCGGGCGCCCGGACGATTTGTCACCGACTATCGACACGTAATGAGCGTCTGATACGGGCTGCTGCGGCCGCGTCATTTTTTGTCGCTCCGGACCGCGGCGCCGGCCATTGCCGGGTCCGAGGAAGGAGGACGGTGCCCGCCGGACTCGGGACTCTCGCTGCTGACGAGATGTGCCGCGCGGTCCGCTGGCTGGGCTGGTCAGAAGTCCGGTCACGCTGACACGGTGGAACCAGCCGCAGATGTGTAGGAGTCCGCGGTCCGCCGGCCGTGGGCACTCATTTGGAGCTCGTGCAGGCGCGCGATGATTGCATGGTGCGATTCTGAGTAATTTGGCCCGTCATGATATGTAATGGAGAACACCTGTTGGGCATGGCGTCAGACATTACATTTTTACCGGCTTAATTTGGGGATACACCGAAAATTACTCACGGCAATGACACTGGTTTGGTAGTCATCAATCAAGCCGCAAACAGCCGCACCATATGCAGAGCTCAGGAGCTCCCAGTTGGGGTCATCGCGTATGCGGGGTCCGAGGCCCTGTCGCTGCTGTTTCTCCGAGTATGGAGACGGAAGTTGGAGCTCTCAGTCTCGTTTGAGATGTCCATCGGGACGCCGGGCGCGGCCGTCTCGATGGCGGCTAAACCCGCCGTCTGCCCGCCGGCGCGACCCGGACCACCATCTTTACAGCCGCAGACAGACCGAGGCGGATCCGGTGAAAGCCGCCGGCCGCTGTCGGCCTTTTCATGAATTACCACTGTCACTTTACTGGTCTAATTGGGCGGCGGCCGGCCGGTCCTCGCGCCCGGAGGAGGCCGAGGAATTTCTGGGCGGCTCTATCTGATCGACGACGTCTGACGAGCTGCCCTCCGTCCGGCCGTCGGGGCGGACGCCGGACGACGCGCCGCTCAGACCCCGTGCAGCCAGTCCAGCCCTTTATCCCGGCCATAAAATGCATCTGATTTGGGGCCGGGTATACGGTCGCGGCCGATGGAGGAATGCAGCTGACATTCTTCACGGAGAAGCTGAGCTCAGCGGCACAGCTCCGACGACACAAACTGATACGATCAGCCACCCAATGTCGATGACTTGTGCGGCCTGGGAAAAACGGCCCCTGCCGCATTGCTGCAATACTGATTGGATCGCGGTTATGTGTGGATAGGCCAAGCTGTCCACCCACAGCCTATAACTATGTTACACCGGATTAGCCTGTCAGCGGATGAGCCGTACCGCACAAAAATGCGACACAATGAACCGCGACAATGCCATAACCGTGACCTGACGCCATACACGCTGAGCTGTTGTGATGCAGTTTACTTATAAGGTTTGCATTCATGCAAGCTCTCATGCTGAAATTTGGAAGTGCCACAGCTGGTTAAACTATTTGACGCTTAGCCTGACAAATCCGGAAGGCGGAATGCGATGATGGAATACCTTTGCTAAGGAGTTAGAATTAGTGACACTTGACACATTGCTAGCTTCACCAAATCCATCTCGTGACAGGCTCAATAAGGGGATTAATTTATCGACTATTAATCTCGGAGGAGTGGTGTTTGGGCGTGGATCGTCCTTGAAGTTTTACCGCCTGCCTGCCCAGACCGAGGGGAGCTATGCACTGTTGTGTTTGTGTGCCGGGCTGAACGCACTGCAGCCCTCTGTCTGTCCGGGGGCTGCAGCCCTGCGGGTCGGCCCGGGCGGACCGTGGCTATCGGCCCGGACCGTGGCTATCAGCCCGCACCGCCTGATCGTATCATCATCACGAACTGCCATGTTTTGCTGTGTTCCTGACTCGAATTCCATACGCCTTAGTTGAGTCAAGAGCGATGCTTTCACCCGTGCAGTTGGAATTCCGGCTAGCCCTTGGAGTGTCCTTGTGCGTTCGTGCCCGTACGCCCCGGCGCCGACATGTCCGCGAGTCGTCAGGCCATGTCGGAAAATGTCGACTGAGTCAAACTGTCGTGCCCTGTCCCTGGAATGCGACACGTTTTGATGCGATGACGTCCCTCCGAACACCAGCCGCCACGTTCCGAGTGTGTCCGACACGAGTTCGGCGGGTCCGACAGCCGGCTGACACTGCCTCCCTCTGTGTTTCAGATCTGCTGGCACCCAGCCGGAGAGCAGACGTGCTGATGCCTCGCGGGCCCGTCGGAGCCCGGGTGGGCGTGCCGCACGAGCCGGTCGGCCCGGCGTCGGACGGCCTGTCTGCGAGGCCCACCGCCGGACGGCCCGTGCACGGCATCCGCTCCAAGTTCTCGCACATGGCGCAGTGCATGCTGGACATCATCGACGAGCTGCACAGCAAGGGCCGCGTTCAGCGGCCGGCCGACTCTCCCAGTCCAACGCCGTCCGACTACCACACCTACGAGGAGGTCATGTACGGCCTGATCGGCCGGGAGCGGATCGCCGAGGCGGCGCCGTCACCGGAGCCGCCGCCGCTGCCGCTGCGCCCGTCGGTCCTGTTCAGCTCCGCGCGCGAGGTCGCCCCGGCCGTCCCCGTGCTGCCGCCGCCGACTGACTGCGCGCCGCGCCGGCCCGACGCCCCCAAACAGCGCAACAACCTGTACTCACTGTTCAGCAGCGCCCGCGAGCGCCGCTCCCTGTCGCACAATCTGGAGCAGGAGGTGGCCGGCGCCGGCTCGGACGGCGACGAGTACGGCTTCGCCGTGAGGAAGTAGACGAGCCGGTGTGCATGGGGTGGGGAGGGGCGGCCCATGGCGCCGTGTGGGGACCGTCCGCTACCAGCGCCGTGTCGGAGGTCCGTGGCGCGGGTCTCTGCCGCCACTGATCAGTCTGGCGGCGCCGGTACACGCGCTGACAGCTCCCGGTGCGCCGGAGGGCGGGAGCGACACGTGTCGGGGCGCGGTCAGCCGTCGGGTCGGGTGCCGATGTGCTGATCTCAGGCACCGCAGCATACACGGCTAGGGTCGGACGGCGGCGGCGGCGCAACCGGGGCGCGACCAGGACCGCGCGCAGTCGTGGACGCGCTCGTTAAGAAGTGCTAGTTTTTCCTATCGGTGGCCTTTCCAGTTTTTGTTAGCGAGGCCACTGGCGGGGAGGTACGAGATAGAGACTCGAGACTATTTGTGAGCTGTATCCCATGTTGCCAAACCTACGCACCTCACAACTGTGTCTATGTTGGCTTTGGTGAAGCCTGTTGCCGTATTTGTGTAATTGCATTCAGTATGGTGCACATTTTGTATAGCGAGTTATTTGTTGGTAAAGAAATATACTACCTATGCTGCCAATAGCGTCTGCTGTGTGGTCAAATGTTGAGATACGCAACCCACAATTTATTATAATTCGATTCTCTATCCAAATTAATGGTCATGCTGTCGAAAATATAACAATAGCACCGAAACCCCATCGAACGAGCCACACGAGGGGGTGATGGGGGGGGGGGGCACGAGCATTGTCCTTTTAAATGCCGACTCCAGCAGTTTACTTAGAAAGGCTACAAGTATGTACAAGCTATAAGACGGTGTTTCAAGATTAAAGCTGACACCTAATTAGAACGCTAACAAGAACAGAGCTCAGAGGCTTTAAACCAACCCGTTAACGACCCATTTCTGTTCAAGCGAGTGTTAGCGTCGACAGGGCGATCAAATTAATGTATCGACTGGGTATTAGATGGTGTCGAAGGGTGTCGAGGCCGGCAGGACCTAAATATCCACCGAGATTAAAATAGTACCGCGCAGACAAAGGTCGTCACAGAGGAGCTCGCGGACTCCTGCCTTGCTGAAAAAGGAACTGCGGGATTGTCTCTGGCAGCCGATATTCTTTCTCTCCGGATGCGTATTTGTCAACCTGCCTTCCAAAGCAGTAATTATTTTTGGGTTCCGAATTCCGATTTGAAAGCATTTAACCCTCGCATGTGTGCGGCGTTTGCCAGCTTCTAATGTGTAGGGGGGGGGGGGGGGTCGGTTGGACCACCCCCTTGCCGTTTGGCCCCTGATCGAGCTAGAGCTTCGCGGAAAAAACGAGCGTGTTGCCCGTGACGAGAGAAAGCCGATGATACCCAATTTTAAGGTCCTAGGTCATTGGTTGACCTTCCAGGTCAGGTCAATGACCCAAAGTCGGGAAAATCGGGACCTGTTAGAAAGTCGTAAAGTGTGGCTGCTAAGGGGTTTTTCGGGGTGCTGATCACGAATATTGTGTTAGTTTTGATCACAGATGATGTCTTTAAGCATTTAGACCAGGTCGGGTCAGGTCAGGTCAGGTCAACCAGTAGGCGTCGTGACGGGTATTCGTAGTACGTGTCAACCGCCTCTGACAGCTTTGTAACATGTTACGAAGGCACCAAAACTACTTCGTAAATGTTCAAATGGTTGCTAAATTCGAATTCAGCTCCAAAAACTAGCCTAGAAACATGTACAGCTCGAAAAAGTGAACCGAGGTCACCCGAGGTCACCAAAGGTCAATGACCTGACCTGACCTTCAGGTGACCTTGACACCCACCCTAATGCATGGAAGCAACATCAAATCACATGTTTGAACGTTTGAAACCACGAAAAGCTCGCAAACGCGCGGCTAATGCAAGCCGACATACGCAGAATCGCGATTCCGGCCAAACATGGTCTCGGAAAAGAGGTCACAGGTCAAAGGTCATTTGGGTCAGGGTCATGAAATTTTCAGAGTAGGTGTAAAATTGATCAATGTGAGGGTACTGAAAGTTTCGTCGCGATCGGCCGCTTTTTACGCGAGTTATTCGCGAAAAACCATGGGGGGGGGTCCATCCGACCCCCCCCTACACATGCGAGGGTTAACCCGCGACCTGGTGGGGGGGGGGGGCTATTTTTTGCCCCCCCTCCAGACTTTTCAATATATCTCCAGAACCGCTGCGCCGATCGTCACCAAACTTTCAGTACCCTCCCGGACATCAATTTTACACATGGTGACCAAAATTTTTTTCCAAAGGCTATGATAGGTTGGCCGGAAATGACGTCAGAGTGACGTCATGTTCTGCCGTTTTCGACCCAAAAAAGGGTTTCGCGGGAAGAGCTGTGAGGCCTATAGCTTTGCAAATACAGAAAAATGATAAAGACATGAAAGCTGTAGATTGGACAGGGCTACAACACTGCTATCTCGGATTTTTGAAATTTTTGGATTTTGACCCCCAAAAATCAAAAAATAGAATGTTTGGATATAATAATCGAAAAATCCAAAAAGTTTTTTGAATTTCGCAAAAACCGGAATATATGTGATAGTCCTTACCGCCTTCCATCCACATACCAAATTTGAGATTGATACCTCTTTTTTTGGCGAAGTTATAGCGAAAAAACTGTTCAAATTTGATGACGTCAAATTTTCAAACTCAATTGTTAGCAATTCTAGACCCCGTAGCGCAAAACAGAGACCACCATTAGACTCCCCGTGACGAGCTGCATCGAATCAATACCCATTTTATGCAAAACTATCAACTTTAAAATTTGACCTTTTTTGGCCTGACCTTGACCTGACCTTGACCTGAACTTCACCAGAAAGTGACCTAAGCCGTACCTGATAGTCTTATAACCAACACCATTGAGTTGGAAATGAAAAATTGGCCATAAAACATGTATCACACAACCTTAGTAAAGTTGGGCTCATGTGACCTGACCTGTGACCCTTGGTGACCTGACCTGTGACCTGACCTGGTATTGCCAGTGACCTCTAATAGCAACATATCTACTAGGCAACTGACGCCCTACCGCTGATTCTCGACAAAATGCGTTTTCCTCGGTGTTATAGCGCATTCCCTAGAAGACCCGTGAACGGTGAAACATTTCATCTTTGACCTGACCTGTGACGTCATCGGTGACCCCGAGGTCAATGAAATTTGGTTTCCATCGACAAATTTGACAGGCCTTTCGAAAGCCGTTTGAATTTTGCGGATCCGTCCAGTAGTTTCGGAGATACGAGGGGGGGGGGCAAAAAATAGCCCCCCCCCCCCCACCAGGTCGCGTTATAAACAGACCCCACCAGGGCGCGGGTTAAGTTAGTATCATTGTGCTCTCTCGCTCTTTGTAATGGTAAGGTAAAGACTTATATTAATCAATTAGGTACCTATTTGCATGTCACGTACTGATTTAACCTTCGCCCCAGTGGGGGGGGGGGGGGCATATGTAACCACCCTGTCGCGTTTTTCGCGTGTGAATAAAAAACCGCGGCGCGTAGCGCCGCGCCGCTTGAGGTAGCTTTTGGTACATCAATTTTGGACAATGTGTGAAATTTTTTGACCCCAGGTCATGTCAGGTCAGGTCACCAGGTCAAGTTAACTGACCAAGCCTTAAAAAAAGTTTGCAATCATGTCCAGCCTGCAGTGTTTGTCAGAAAGGTTTTAAACTTGGTGGATTGCATGCTGTTATGGGAGCCTTCAATTTGTATATCTCGGATTTTTTTGTATCCGTGACCTAAGGTGAGGTCAGTGGCATGACCTTTCCATTACAAGTCAATGGAGAAAAACGAAAATGCCTCTAGATCCGTGTGTACGCATAGGAACAGTCCAAATATTTCAGAATGACAATGATTTAGTCTACTCGTGATGACCAAGGTGTCATTTTTGCTGATAGCCTCTAGAAAGGTCATCAGAGGTCATTTGAGGCTACAAACAGTTTTTTTGCCAATAACTCGCGATTGGAAAGAGATAGAACGCTGGGGATGGTCTCATTGTGTTTGTCTTGTTGAGACGCATCGACTGATATGCAACATGACCTTTTCCGGTCAGGTCATGACCTTGACCTGAGGTCAAATTTTTAAGTTGATCTTTCAAGGTCAACTTATAGTTCATTCGACGCGTCTCGGTGAGGGGAACACGATTCTGGCAATAGAAATATCGTGGCTTTTTGTAGTCGAAAGTTATTGTCGAAAAACACTTTTCGTAAAAACAGCTATTTTTGGAGTTTTTGCCCTCTGGAGACTAAACCGTTGAACTGAGGACAATATTGACAATGGCCTTTTCAAAAGAAGAGTTCAAAAGCTATCGATTGCTTTTCCATGCATTTTTCTAGCTACCATAGTTCCTTAGATAGCGGCATGTTTTCTGAAAAATATAATGACAATTGGCAAATTTTGACCTTTGATGACCTCTGGTGACCCCAATATTGCTCTAAGGTGAAAAATGACCGAAATACTTTCAACCGTACGTATTGAGAGCTATCGACTGCTTTTTACCGCGTCTTTCTAGCCCTCTTAGTTTTTGAGTTAGAGGTGGGTTGTAACATATGCCCCCCCCTCACTAGGGCGAAGTTGGCCGAGACCGCCACTGGGGCGCGGGTTAAGACATAAGGCTATGTCTATAAACTGTGTAGTAAGTGAGCCAAAGGTACATACTTAACCCTCGCCCGCACATGCCATTTTCCCATCCTAGAACGCACATGGGGGGGGGGGGTGGTTGCCACCCCCCCCCCCGCGCCATTTCGTTCCTGTTGGAGATAGAGCTTAGCAGTAGAGACCAAAAAGATTCTTTGGGAAGAGACAAATCCAATGATACCCAGATTTACCTTCTCAGGTCAGTCATTGACCTTCCAGGTCAGGTCAAACTAAAAAATGTTGCTGTTTTGGGTCACCGTTGGATATCAAGTGCGCTGCTTATCATTTACCGATGACGATGCCGTTTTCTGGTGCCAAGCCAGCTAGAACTTCTTTCTCACACTACCCGACCAGGTTTTGCTGCTGAGGTCATTTCAGGTCAAGTTAGGTCAAGGTCAATGACATGACATGTGTTTGTATGTCTGTGTGTGTCTGTGTGTATGCTGATGTGTGCACCGATTGTTTTTGGGTCCATACCACATGAAATCATGATCTGAGAAGCTTTTACCAAAAATGCAGTCAAAAAACTTCACAAAAAGTAAATTCAGCTTGCCTAAAACGCAATTATCTTAGATGACCTAGGTTGACCTTGACCCTGACCTTGACCCCTGTACATCGTCGAACAACATGTTCCATGATAGGTGGGAGGTAAGACTGGCAAAAAAGGCCGAAATCAGGGTGTCAAAAGCTCACAAGGCCCATGGCAAACGCAAGATGTTGAGAATTGGCTATTTGGGTCATGACATGACCTGAAAAACAAGGTCATATCTCCGAAACCAAAAATCACAGAAACTAGAAATTTTCAGTGGACATCAAGAAAGGATAGACAAGCAGCTATACGAAAAATCAGCCTTCTAGCTCTAAAAATGTTGAGTGCAGAGCAGAAAGACTGCCTGGGGGGGGGGGGGGTGGCAACCACCCCCCCCATGTGCGGGCGAGGGTTAATTCATTAACTATCATCGG